AGTACGCTGGGGGAGGGGGGATGGGAAGGGGGAAGGGGTAGTGGGCAGGGGAAAGGGAGAAAGGGGAAGGGGGCAGGCGGGAGGAGGGAGGGGGATTAGAGAAGGCGGAAGGAGGGAGGGGGAAGTGGGAAGGGGAAATGGGGGGGAAGGGGGGCGGGGGCAGGGGGCAGGGAGAAGGGGGAGTGGGAAAGGGGAAAGGGGAAAGGGGAAGTGGGCAGGGGGTAGGGGGAAGAGGGCAGGGGAGAAGGAAAGGAGACATGGGAAGCATGGATGGAGGGATGAAGGGAATGGGAGTGGGACAGGCCTTGGCAGGGGATGGGACACACGCTTGTGAGGAAGAAGCGAACTGCACGAGGGGGTTCAGCAACGGGCCGACCTGTCCCGGCCCAGGCCAACCCATTCCGGCCCATCCCGGCCCAGGTCAAACAGGGCCGACCAGGTCTGACAAGGGCCGACCCCGGCCAGGTACGGTACGGATCAATCGGGTCGGGTCGACCTAACCTTGGGTCACATCCCATCCCATTCTACAGGTTTTCGGTCCATCCCGAGTTGAAGGGCAGATGTATGTAATTGCACCACCCAACAAAACAGGAAACAAAAAAAAAAAACAAGAAAAAAGAGAGAGAGACTACAGGAGGAGATGCAGGCAGGGTTTGGGAGGCTGACAGCTGCTGGAGGGAGGTGAGGCGGGAGATGGCGCGAGGCAGGGATCCCGTGAGATAGGGATTCATACTCAGCAACCTGCCATGCATGTGAGATAGGGATTCTGACTCAGCTCCCTGCCATGCACGTGCGTGTGGGGAGTGGGACGGACATGGCCACAGAGGAGTATTTTCCCTGTGCGGCCTTCTCCATGTGCAGTTTTCTTCCCATGCGGCCTTCTCCCGATGCACATCCCACCCCAGCGCAAGACAAAAGGCAGAAGAGAGGGGCAGCAACAGAGAAACAGCAAGCAAGTCTTGCATACTCTTGAAAACACTCAGATGCAGGAAAAAGATAAATAGCAAGCAAGTTCCGAAGGTGCAAAGAGGCGTGTGCAGCTCACAAGGACTCGAGGCGGAAAAGAGTAGAAATGGTGGAGGGGATGCTTCCTGTGAAGGTGTTGGATTGCGCGTAGCTGGTGGTGGGTGGTGAATGATGGGGCGTGCAATGGGAGGGAGGATGCGCGATGAGCAAGAGATGTGCGATGATGTGGATGTAAAGCAGTCAGCATGAAGGCCCGAAAGAGAGGTGGCACTGCAGCCGCAGGCAAGCACAAGCTGCAGCAGATCCTGTCCGGGTTACTGCATTACCAGATCAATCAAAGAGTTAGGCAGCACAAGGACCGACTTTAAAGGCGCCTTAAAAGTAGCACAGGCTGCAGCAACTCCAGTTCAAGTTACCGCATTACTGGATCAATCAAAGGGTTAGGCAGTGCAAAGGAGAGAGGAGCTGGTTACAACTGTTGGAGGGCGGTGAGGGCACTGATGGTGTCGGGCAGCGGGCCAGAAAGGCCATTCCATGCCATGCTCCTGTGGCAGGGGAGGGCGGGTGGGGGTGGTGTTGCTTGCAGGGGAGGGTAGGTGGGGGTGGCATTGCTTGCAGGCTATGAGGCATTGATGCTAAAATCTGCAAGCGTCAAGCGTCAAAACACATGGCTTCGACGCTTTACACTAGTTTGACGCAGTGCCAAAACGTCGACACTGCATAGTTTTTTACTTAGGCAGCCAAAAATCAATGTTTTTGGCAAAACATTCGCGGGTTCCCTAGATCTAGAATTGGCCTCCAATGTCCAATTTTCAGATCTGAAATTGGTTGAGGTTTCTAGATTTTGTGCGGTGGAAGTAGGTATCGAGTGGCGGATTGTTTGGGGACAACATTGTTGGTAGAATTTGTGGGATGGTGAGCTACAAATTTTGTAATCGGCGAGTCGGGGACTGGGGCACGAATTGCACTCCCTTCCCCTTACCCATGTAATCTCCTACACTCCCTCCTAAGCTGCATCTACCCCGGATCATGATTTGCCTGCCCAAAATCTTTATGCCTCCCTGTGCCCGAGCGACAAACTAGCGTCAGGGCGGGTCCCGAAAGTACAATTACATTTAATTTCGTGAAAAGTAACCACAATCTGGCTTTTCGCCACTCGCCAACCCGTTCGTCTGGACACGGCGCCAGGCTGTACAAAAATTACTGACGCACTTCTCAAGGTTGGGCGCGTACAGTACAGACAGCGATGGACACGCAACATTTGACATTCCTGGAACAAATCGGAAACACAGCGAAGAGAACCACGGGTCGTCTTCACTCATGGTTTGAGCGCCTCAAAAAAGCGAAGAGTACCACGTTCGCCGCAGCGCCTTTGGGCGAACTCGCCCTGCTGTTACAAATTCCTCTGTGACAATCTGTCGAGGGGGTTCTATTTTCCCCCCTCAACTGTTTCGCGAGGGAAATGAGTTTCGCGGCAATCTGGACCTGGTAACAAGCCGAGAACTGCAGAGCCGCCAGTGTCTGTCCACTTTTTGGAAGTCGAAATATTTTTCTGGCATGTGTACGTACCTGGAAGATGTTTAAACCGCCAAGGCAGACGTCCCTTTTCACGTAAATCTGTGTCAAAAAACAGTCCACGTACCTTCGGCACCCGCCCTCAATGGTTTCTCCCACGGCGCGTCAAGCGTTCAACTGCTAGCGTTTTGACACAAGCATCTATGACGATTGACACATAAAAGCCATCATAACTTGCAAGGCAGAGGGTGTGGGGGGTGGCATTGAATGTGCGTGGGGTGGAGTGGGATGGGATGGAATACGTGAACGAAGGAGAGGCTGTTAGTACTAGCTCTCAGTCTCAACTTTTGTACTTGTACTTTTTATATCCTATATTCATGTATTTTGTAGCTTAGTTGGCATTTTACGTTTACGGGGGTATACGTTGCAGAGATAACTCTTACAACGAGAGCCTGACTACGGGGAAGGCACGTGCGTGAGAGGTAGGAGTGATTGAAGCGTTCGTTCTTTAGTCGTTTGCTTGTGTTCACTATACGTGCACATTCATGGGGAAAAAAAAGCAAGAGTTCCACTAGCAAAAGGTTCAGAATGAATGCAACAACATTGGAAAGGAAGACTACATCTGAGCTAGCAAACATACAGGTCGACCTCTAGTGCAGCACGGTCGACCGCGTTCCAGCGCAGCAATGCTCGCACCGCTCCAGCGTTGCAGAGATGCGGCGCGCCAACGTTGCAAGTCAGTGGCGTGCCAACGCTGCAGTAAGTCGGCTGCACAGCGTTGCACCCGCATGACAACAATGCACCTGCTTCGCAAGTGCGCACGGCTGGTTGGCGTGCCCAGCCCCGTCACGCTCACAGCGCAGACACTACGCCAGTGACTGCGCCCGCCAGCAACGTCGACCTCGGGATACCACTTCCGAGGTCGGCTTTGCAGGTACCATCTGGGCGACCGTCGCGTACTTCTGCTGATCCCCATCGCCCGGGTAACCTGGTCGACCGGGCAACCACCAAGTCGGCGTCGACTTGTGTGCCCGGCGTCGACCAGTTGCTTCTCCTCGTGCTCGTCGACCACCCAAGTCGACGACCACGCTCCGGTTGTCGGATGCACCAAGTCGGCTTCACCAAAGTCGGCGCTTAAAGTCGGCGCTTAAAGTCGGCGCTTGGAAGTTGACGCCTCCGCGGTCGACCTCGCCAAGTCGACCACCCGCACCTCGGCGCCTTCCAGCCCGGCCTCCCATCGTCGTCGACATCGGCGCCTTCCTTCGTCGACCACGTCCGCCGGCCTCCTATCGTCGGCGGCTGCGCAGTGGCCCCGTGCCGGTCGACCAGCTTGCCAAGACGGTGTCGCCCACTGCAGCAGGTCGGCTGCACACCCCGCACATCAGACCACGAAATCGGCTCCGCTCAAGCGAGGACGGGGCCAACAACAACTCCCGTTGACATACGCGTACGTGACTTAACGTGGTAGACTTACGTTTACTTACGTGGGCCGAAAACGGCTTTACGTTTACGGTCAGCCAGAAACATTTCTGGCTGCTCGGAAAAATAAGAATTCATCGGACTAAGTGGCTGCATGGGAAGCGCCTAATCAGTCACTATGCCCAAGCATGTTAGCACATAATTACATCAACTTACAAATGCCCCAACTCTACACTGACAGTCGCAGCCTCTCCCACCTCATATCAGCCATATTTTTTCCATTTCGCAGACAAAAATCCACTTTTCCCTGCCCGTGCGACTTCACGTAAACTTACGCGTAAGAAAAGGTAAAGGTAAAGTCATACGTAAGTTTATGTTTACGTGACCCTAAAAAACGCAAAGGACCAACTAAGTTTTGTAGTTTGTCCTGGTTGGGCGTACACCCACACATATCCCAACCTCACCCAAATGTGATCAACGGAAATGTCCGGAGATGTTAGCCAATCTCCTCGGGATTGCCCCGGATTTCCACCCCATCCATCCCTTGCTCATTTCTAATATACTAAAGAGCCTTGAGCTCATTACCCGGACCAGTTCAAGCTCAAGCTCTTGCAAACGCGTGCAGGAAGGAGAAGTGTGCAAGTGCAAGAGGAGAGGCATACAGGAAGGAGAGGGCGGTGAGATGGCTGATTTCTTGTGGCAGTGGCGCATGCAAGGGGTTAGAATCCATTTCGCTGGGAGCATGTAGAGTGGGAAGGTAAGGGGAGCGGAGATCACATAAGAGGGAGGGGAGGGGTAGTGGAGGGAGGGGATGGGCGTGGGAGGGAGGGGATAGCCATGGAAGGGTGGGGATGGGCATGGGAGGGAGTGTAGTGGCATGCAAAAGGACACGAAAGGACGATTGGATAGGAGAGGAATGGACAAGAGGGAAAACGATTGCTGGGAAGAGCAAGGAGGAGGTTTGAGGAGGAGGAGGTGGGTAATTGGGAGTGAGAAGCAATCGACGGAGGTAGTGAAAGCAATGGAGTGTGTCACGGGAGTGTGGGGGTGACAGAGTGAGGGAGAGAAGAGTGAGGGAGAGAAAGGTGAGGGGAGCTGAC